AAACCAAACTAAAATTTTTTACTGAGATGAAATGACCGAAGAAGTTGAAACGGTAGATTTGACACCACAAACAAAAAGTTCAGAACCATTGTCAAAACCTGTCAAAGAACTTACAGATGAAGAGAAAAATTCAATAATAGAAAGTGCCAGGTCTGGAAATACAAACCCTAACTATAAAGTCACTTTTCATAGATATGGAACGGCTAGTATCTCAAAAAAGAAACAGACTCTCACAAATAAATATTGAAGTCTGAAGGAGCTTTCGAGACAACAGATGGAAAAGTTTACTTCACTGACCAACAGTTCATTATAAAACATCTCATTGACTTAGAGTCGAAATATTCTAAACTTTACAACAAACACAAAAAGTTGAAAGGAAAACAAAAACAAATGGCATATGATATTTATGAAGATGTTGACGACACAACTGTTCCTGCAAGTGAAGTAAAGTCAGAGGAACCGAAAAGTGACGAAAAACCGATAGAAGAAGAAAAACCAAAAACTGAAGATAAACCAAAACCAAAGTTTAGTTTCCAAACTAAACCAAGTCAACCTTCATTAGCTGGTATGGGTTGGCGTCAAAGACTTATGGCAGCAGGCGGTTATGTAAAGTAAAGAAAAAATATTTTTTATTTTTATAAAATGCCCCCATATAGAATGGACAGAAAGTCTGCTAGAATAAAAGCAGAGTTACAAAGAATGGTTGGAGAGTTTCGAAGAATTTTAAATATAGGAAGGGAAGACCCATAAAAGTCTATGACAAATTGTCTGGTCTTCGCTACGAAATGGATTTGGAAACAGCACGTGCAAATTATCCAAACAGACTAGAGAGGTTAGAAGAAGAACGTCTTATGGACATGCCTTTCGATGTTAGTGAACCTCAAGTTGAAGGACACGACGGCTTTGCCAGATTCTACTGGAAACATGACGAACAATTGCATCCTTTGAGAAGGAAAAAAAGGAAAAGGTGAAGACGCACATGCTCCCATGGAAAGAACAAGATATGCATATGAAAAGTATCGTGAAGTTAGAAGTCAAATTACATCTGGCCGAACCTTTACAGTAAACTTTGACGAAGGAAAGAACAAAGAAGGCTTCATGGGAGTACTTGCTGCAATTCAAGACGGAAATAAGAAAGGACACAATCTCAGATGACCATAACAGATTTGGATGGTCACATTTACTATGCACATGGCAATGAACAAACAGCCGCAAAACTTCTTGACGCTTTCAAGACTACAAAGAGAGAACAAATGGTTGACTCCGACTCAGACATTTTGAATGCAATTGAAGGAATTGCAAGTGTCAAGTTCGAATGGTACCAACCTAACCCTCAAGCAGTCAGATAACATGCTGGATATTTCCCCTTCATAAATAAGTCTGACATTGACTTGACAAGGTATGGAATTTACAATTCAATTGAAACAATTGTCAATGAACCTTGTATTCTCACATGTCTCAGGAACTCTGGTCTTGTTACAGATGAGAAGATGAAGTATCTTGAGTCATGTGTGAAGACAAGGTACATTCTCAGAGGTCAATTGGCAAAAATTGCACCGTTGGCAAATGTCAATATCCGAGTCAACATACCTACAGCTAAAGGTTCTTCACATGACGACTATGTTGTTGACAAAGACTTACCATGGTTAAAGATTGTAATTGTCCACAATCACTTCATGTTGAACGAAAGTCTTACAAACCCATTCTTTGGTAAAAGTAAGTGCAACATTGTCAGAGCTGTAAACATTCTTTTCGAGAAAGGTTTGTTGGAACCAATTCCAGATGACAAGCTGACAGAAACTTTTGTACCAAAAGACGAAACAAACTTTTCATTGTTAGCAAGACCAAAAGTTGTTCCAGACAAAGTTCTAGTACAAAAGAAGTACACAGTTCCACAAGGGGTTGGTATGTTCGGATACCAACCTGAACCAGAAGAACTTCCAATGAGGTTGCAAGAACTTCAAGATGCTATAAACAAACTTCCATTGAGACATCCAATTGACGTCAAATTGTATTGGAGAGCATCTGAGTTAGGTCAGAAGGTTTTATATGAAACAGGTTGCTTCGACGATGTTTATGAGATAACAGGAGAAGTTTCTCAGAAGATAAGAGACTCACTTGAATTTCCACAAACTGGACCAATTGGTTGCGGCAAGTTCGACTCAGATGAAAAGATATACTATGTCGACCTTAACGCTGCATACATGAGGTTTGTCCAATATATTCCGACTGGAATTCCAAACGAAGATGGTGAGTTCCCGGGAAGGAACTATACAGTTGGAAAAGTCATACAACAACTGTATGATATTAGGAAAGCTTCAAACCCCAAACTTGGAATGACACTCAAATTGCTTATGAATTCGACATGGGGATATTCCATTAAGAAACCTCAAGAGATGAAGAGTAAACATTATGAGAAGGTCGACAACTTTGTTGAAAGGTTTTCTCCTTTTGTTTTGAAGTACGAATTCACTCAAGGTCAAAGTGGCTTAGTAACCACATTAAAACCTATTGTCGAACATTGGTCTTACCCTCAGTTCGCAAAGGCAGTCCTTGACAACTACAACAAATTCTTCTCCGAAGTCAAATCCAAAGTGAAGGTTTACTATGAGAACATTGACGCACTCATGACGAACGAAGAAGGATACAACAAACTCATTGAAATGGGAATGGTCGGTGAAAAGATGGGCTGTTTTAAGCTAGATAAGGTATTTTCCGAAGTTCATGTCCTCTCCAAGCGTAAGTACTGGGGTGTTAAAGAAGATGGTGAAATAGTTAAACATTGCATGAAGTAAAAACGTTTTTCAAAAAAAGTGACATTTTTTATTTTATTTGAAATGTACGCTGAGTTTGTTGGAGAAGACCGTTGGGAAACTTGTTTGTTAGATGAGAAATATGAAATTCACTGTTGTGAGTCATTTGAAGTCAGAAACAAAAAGACAAAAAGAGTTTTAAGCGAATGGGAGCGAAATGACGGATATGCTATTATGAAGATGGGTGGAAAACACTATCTTAAACATGTTGTCATTGCAACTCATTTTATACTGAATCCTAACAATTTACCTTTTGTAGACCATATAAACCATATAAGAAACGACAATAGACTTGAAAACTTACGTTGGGTCACTCGTTCTGAAAAACAATAAGAACAAAGGCAAATTTGGAGATATTGTATTCGAATTTGTCGACGAACTAGAAGATGAAACAATTGAAATTACAGACTATGGCAAGCATACGTTTGAGTTTTACTACTATAGCGAAGAACAAGACTCTTTCTACTTTTATACCGGCGTAAACTATAGGAAATTACAAGTATATTTTACTAAGGCAGGCTATGCTTATGTAAACACTAGAGATACAGATGGAAAATACGTTCAAATACTTTTTAACAAATTCAAGAAGCTATATGGCATACCATTTTAAAACAATATATTTTTACATATATTAAATGCTTCAGGTTGAAAAACAAAGAACAAAAGTAGCAGATACAAAACCGTTAGACTATATCTTTACAAATGCTGGTAGGACTATTTCAGATGAAGAAATTTCATCCCGAGCATACAGGTTTGACTATCCAATTCGTTGGCTTCAAAGTCCTTCAGATGCAAAGGCAATAGGATTTAGAAGAGTTTTGTTTTCAAATAGAACTAACGCATTTATGTTCGCAGTATATTTTCATGGGCAGTATGAAGGTCCTGATGGTCTAATAGACAAATTTGACGAAATGAGAATCTTTACAGTTCGTTCAGACGAAAGTCTTGAGAAAACTCTAGATGACTTTCAAACTCAAATGAACAAATATTATTGGGAATTTCAAGAAAAATACGACTCTTTACTAAATGGAACATACTATCTGAAACTAGAATATGACAAGATGAACTCCACCGTTTCATTTCAAAAGATTGAAATTAACCCTCCAAGAGATACAGAGTTTTTATTTTGGGAAGTAGACAAACGTTCTTGGGCACAATTTCTTCGGTTACTAAACCAGAACGAACCATTACCACCAGATGGTCCATTTAAATTTATACTTCCACCAGCAGATTTGATGGTTTATAGAAACGTGTTTGACCCTCAAAATGTTATGTGTCATGCAAGTTTCAGTTCAAGCAACAATAGTTTTCTATGTATTGGTAAGGACCTTTATGACTTTGCTTCTAAATTCTACGAACCACCTAGTAACAGTTTCTCTGACTTTCAAGTTTGGTTCACAACAAATGGTGTGCAACATATTATTCCATTGTACTATGACTTTTATCTCGAATTGTCTTTCATATATAACTACGGAAAAGTGCTGAAAAAGTATTGAATGTGAAGATATTAGAAAATAACATTTTTTCTAACATCGTAGAAAACTCATGAAAACAATTTATTTTTGACACTTTCACAAAAAACATAAAAAAGTGAGTTAAACGTTAAGGTTTACTGAATTGGTTGGATGTCGCCTTCTGAGGTTATGTAGAACGGCTGACCCGAGAAGTGAAGGAGAGACTGAATTGCCAATTTCATATGGGGTAGGGGGTTCACCTTGTTTGGTATTTTTATCCAAGGACGTTTGTTTAGGAACTTAACAAGAGCTTCTCTTTTGGCGTCCTTTATGCCATCGTAGGCTGTCCCATCTGGTATTTGAATTGGAATTCCAGTCGAAGTCTCGAGCTGAAGTGTAGACCTTCCAGAAATAGTGGTGAACTTGACCTTGGGCTTCATTACCTTGCGCAAGTAGTCTTTTACGCAGTCGTTAAGTTCAATGAGGTAAATTGCCTCGTCAAGTCTTTCTTGCATTCCAAGTTCTTCCATCCGACAGGAAAATATTTTCCCGACAAAGGGAAAAATTTTTCCCGACAACAGGAAGAACTCTTCCAGTTGTCCGTCCGTAAACCATTCAAATTTTCGAAAATTGAGAACTTTTTGGTCGAACTTCAGAAAAAGTTCTTCCTTCCGACAGAAAAAGTTCTTCCTTCCGACAGGAAAAATTTTTCCTTCCGACAGGACACAAACGGATGACTGACGTTCCTCTTCCTGAATGCCTTCCAAAGCCAGAAGAACCGAAAGCTGCAGAACCACAACAGTCTCCTCAGCAACCTCAGTTCCAGCAAGTACCTCCGAATTACTACCAATTTCCACCTCAAGGTTACTACCCACCACAAGGCTTCCCGAACTACCCTCCTCAGCCTATGTCTTACTTCTCCAACCCTTGGTTGTTCCAGCAAGCTCCACCCCAGCAATTCCAATTCCAATCTCAATCGAAGAGAGACCAAGACTTCGAGGAAGGTCTGAACCGCTTACGCAAAGAGTATGCTACAGCTCCAATTGAGAGAAAGTTGTTCCCGGACCAAAAAATAATGTTTAGGGTAGATGGTTAGATCTAACCTCATTTCTAACCCGATTTCTACCCTCTTGAATTTTCATGAATTTCCTTAAGACAGAAAAAATAAAGTTAGTTTTATTTTTATTTATTTTTTTTATTTTGTATGTAAGAACAGTAATGTCAGTCGAAGCAAAAACGTTCACGAACAAATCTAATGGCGAAACATTCACAAAAGGCACTTATAACGGTATTGAAGTCTTACGTAGAGACAAGGATGGTTACATTAATGCAACAAAGATGTGTCAGCAGTTTAGGAAAGACTTTAGAAAGTTGTTGGAAAATAAGTCCTGGGAAGAGTATTATAAGGCATTTTGTGAAGAATATAGCAACCGCCGGAATTCGGACTGTTGTTTTATACAAATTCATGCAGGAAATTCTTGAGTTTTGGTTGAAAGAATACGGTGGAGCCAAAAGTGGCTCGACCTCAAAACAAGCATTTTATGAGCTTACAAAGGGTGTCATGAATGAATTCAAAGGTATTTATATACATCCTGACCTTGTTCATTTTGTTGCTGAATTCAGCAAAAATAATGTTTAGGGTAGATGGTTAGATCTAACCCGATATCTACCCTCATGTCTACCCTCATGAATTTTCATGAATTTCCTTAAGATAGAAAAAATAAAACTAACTTTATTTTTATTTATTTTTTTATTTTGTATAAAAGATATGATTTCAACAATCGGCACAACAACAATTCAAACAACAACAGCACCAAACTCGTTAGTCATGAATCCAACATCTATGTTAGTAGAGATGAAAAACTTCATTCCTTCTTCATATAGTTTTGGAACAGAAATACAAAAAATTAAGCAGGAACTTTTAACAAGTAATTTAGACTGTACCGCACAGGATGAAGAAAATGAAGAATATCTTTATGACATGCAGGACATTATTGACCATTTACCCAAATTGCCTGAAATCCAACAACAAAAGCTCACTATTCCTGAATTCGATGAAATAGAAGTGAAACAATTGACTCAGTAGAAATAAAGAAGTTCATACGAAAAGGTAAATTATGAGTTTCTAGATATCATTGCAACCATAAAGTTATGGACAAAGATTGCGACATGGTATATAAGAACATCTCTGACATATATAAATCTGGGGAGTTTAAGACATACGACAACTTTGTTTCATTAGTTGCAAAATGTGTATGGCAGATAAGAGATAAAGATAGAAGAGGTAAGGTATGGAATGAACAGATAAAACCAACTGCTTCAGATTTAAAGAAAACCATTGACGCCTTAGTTGTTTTAGCAGGTAAGGTTTCAGAATATAACGCAAAAATGAATCCGCAATGTTCTAAATGTAAAGCAGCAATGAGGAAATATAACTACTCCGTCAAAGAGATAGAACGTATGAGAAACGACTATGCTGACTTAAAGAAAGAAGCAGAGAAACCAGCAGAAAATAAAATGGACATGTTAGAATTTCTGAATAAAAACTATCCCACAGCTGATGATTTCCTTTTATCTGACGTCAAGAAGAAGTATAAAGAAACTTTCGGTATTGTTAAAATTTTTGATATCCTCAGCGAAGAAATAGAAGCTACAAAACTGTTTAGAATCTCACGAATTCATAACGTTTACCATGTGAAACGTTTATAAAATAACTGGGGTAGAAATGAGGTTAGATATCGGTAGATCTAACCATCTACCCTAAAATATATTTTTGGTGTAAATTCAAACTGACTGACGGCACAAAGTGGCTTAACGAAAACATTAATATATAAAATTCATGAAAATTCATGAAAAATTCATGAGGGTAGAAATGAGGTTAGAATCGGGTTAGATATACCCATCTACCCTAAAAATATATTTTTATTGAATTCAGCACAAAAATAATGAATTTTCAAGCTTGACCATTTACAATTTGAACTTTGTTTGCGTAGATATGAATTCTGAAAGAAGTATGAGGGTCTTGTATGACTTTGTACTTCTCCCATAGTTCATGTCTGTCAAACTTACCTGCCATGGACTCTTTCATAAGTTCCATGAAATCGTCTTCGGACAATCCGGGGAAAAGTATTATGTCAGTAAGTATTCTTTTAACATCCTTACTTAAACTCTTTGCTGTCTGTACACAAATGACAACTGAGATGTTAAAGTGTCTGAGCTTCTTAAGAATTCGACACATATCTTGTTCTCTGTTCTTTAACAAAGGATGAGAGGCGAAATCATCTAAGATAAGAAGACATCTATGAGGGTAAGTCTTCCAATCGTAAGATTGCAATTTCTTCGAAATGTATTCTATCTCTTTCTGTTTGTTTCTGAAGTGTTTCTTCTCTAATATTCTCTGCATTTCCTCATTAGGGTCTTTGAACTTAGAATTTATATACTCATTTATAGCATTATACTTCAAACTCTTCTTTGGTACTTCTTTATCCAATCTAAAACTCAGTATCCTTTATACATACTAACTTAGACTTCTTTATAATATCTTTGAACGAATTGACGGTTTGGTCAAATTGACCAGAAGTCGAACAAATAACAACTAACTCATAAATGGGTTCTTCTCATCTAGTTCTTGTTGTTGTGCAGCCATTTTAAGATAAGTGAAAGTCTTACCCGACCCAGGTGGTGCAATTAGACCTGTTATACCATTCTGAGCAAATAAGAACTTGTCATGTATAGGCTTTATCTGAGCATTTTCTAACTTCCTCTTGTTCTTATTTAAAACATTCTCAAATTTCTTGTCAATGTCAGCAAACTTTTTTTCTAACATATTTTTAGAAAAATTAAAATTTTTATCTTTTAGAAAATGTCTAGCGATTTCGCTATCTATATTCGAGACAAATTTTTTGACAGCAAAGCATCTGTCGACCATAAAATCTTACATAGTGTAAACAAGAAAGGTGAATTTGTTCTAAAGTTCTGTTTCTGGGAATATGACAAGAACCATAAAACATTACAAAGAGCAGTCTTAAAATTTGTCAATGACAGACTTGTTGACAGAGATGACGCCGATTGGAAAGATGAAGTCCAACAAAAGTTCTTAGAATGCAAAGAAGACACATGCGGTGTTCTTGAAGATGAAATAGAAAACAGAATAGATGAGCTATTAAAGGACAAAGAACTTTTACAGAAATATGGTTCGGAGAAATTTGACATATCTCCACCAGAGAAGAAGAAGAAAGAAAAGAAAGAGAAAAAAGTAGAAGAGAAGAAAGAAACCTGAACCAGTTCCAGAGAAAAAGAAATTTGACATGTAAAAATAAAATTTTATTTTAGAACATTTCTGGGTCAATGTCAATGTTCTCTTCCTCTTTAGGAGCAAACACTGGCTTAGACTCTAAAATCTTTTTACCCAATTTACCTTGAACTTCTACAACTTTAGACTCATAATATTCATAGTCGTCTGTCTTCTTTGGTTCATAAGGTATAACAAGTTTGTATGCTTTGCCTTCTTTAAGGTTTGAGAACCTTCTGTCAAAACTTTCTTTGACTGTTAACAAACCTTCTATGTCTAAGTCTTCAAATTTCGCACCATTTTTAGTCACAATAGCAAACTTAACTGGTTCGATGTTCCAAACTTTGCTGAATGAAGACTTTTCAAAATGGTAGAAGTAAACATTCAAATATGTGAATGGGTCTAGTTCTTCTTTAAGTCCTGACATGTACTTGTTTACTGAGATGAATTTCGTCATCTTTTCTATCGGATAAAAAAATATTTTTTTTTAAATTTACTCAGAAAAAATTTTCTTTGTATATACACCATTCTGAACATCTAAAAGACTTTTGACATTTGCCAAGAATGTACGTTTAGAAGCTGCCATATAACCATATTCTTGACAATATTGTTTATATTCATCATATAAAGACCTTTCATCTAATGACACAAAGTCAGTTTCATCTACGAACAGTTCATAAACACTCTTGTTTGCTTCTAACAATGTTTGTCTCTCTTCGGTATGTGGAATTTGTCTTGGATTGAACTTAGAAATATCTAATGTCATGAAATATGAGAAACAAGTGGTTGTAAAAGTCAGATGTCAAAGTTTCTGCTAAGTCGTCAAAATATTCTGTATCTTGCATATGAGAATCTGACGTTCTGACAACTACATATCTTCTGTCAGAACTTTCTAAATTCATCGGAACAGCATTGTTTGAAACCATAATGAAGTTTGCAACATTTTCACAAACTCTTTGGTCTTTATACTTTCTTTCAACAACTCCAACTTTGTCTGTTATAAGACTCTTCAAAGCATCTGAGTTTCAAAACTTTTGTTGTATCTATACTTTGAAGTTCATTGCAAACTATAAGTTTCATATTCTCTATTGAGGAGTTAAACTTGCCACAGATGTTTTCTAAGTTTGTCATATTCGGATTCGAATAACCTTCTAACAGTTTGCACAAAATATCTGTAAAGAAAGTATTCTTACCAGTTCCTTGTTTTCCAATTATAATGAGAGCAGTTCATTTTTAGCACTTGGATGTTGTAAGATGTTTGCAAACCAACATAAGATATACTCATAAACCTTTTCGTTTCCATTGCATATAATTTCTTTGACATGGTCTAACCAAGCTTCTATAATATTTTCTTTCCATTCTACTTGTTCGTATTTATATCCAGTGAAGATAGAATAGAAGTTTGGAGAAGGTGTATAGAACTTTATACCTCGAACTGAAAAATCTTCTAACTTTGACAATAAGATATCCCAAGCATCTAACATCTTCATGCCAACTTGTACGACTTTTATTTTCTTAAGTTTCTGTCTACATTCTTGTTCTGAAACTATTGTTGCTCTTGGTTTGTTAAAGACAACATCCCATTCTTTCATGACATAAACATTCTGGGGCAGAGTCAACATAAATGACTAAACGTTTCAAATTCTCGACTGCTTTGTTATAGTCTCTAAATGGACACATATTTCTGAATGCTTGGAAGCATAAAAATCTGAAACATCTATTCGTATACATTTTTATAAAAATAAAAAAAAATATTATTTTTTTATTCTTGACTTTGTTGTTCCATTTGTTGCATTTGTTGTTCTTGAGCTTTGTGTTGAAGTTGTTCTGTAATACAATACTTTCACCAGTTGCATCTTCCAATTCGAAACTTTCTGCCGTCATTGACAAATACATAGGACATAAAAGTTTTACAGGAACAAAGTTTGCGTCAACTAATGTCAACGTTATACTTGCCAAAGTGTTTGAGTTTACTAAGGTTGAAATTCTGCATTCGAATGAACAATAGGCAAACCAGCAGAGAAAGTATTGTTTATACGCATAAGTATCTTTTGGTCATAATAGTTTCTGTCGACATTCGAATAACACTTTGAACCTAAGTTTGAAACAATATATAAGATTGGTGTGCTTAATGTCAATGGAATAGACATTCCTTGTATGACACCTTTTCCTGTTATAGGAACTGTTGGTAGTAAAACCAGAAAATAAGTTTTGTATTATAGCTCATATCGTTTATAGTAAACTCAGTCGGACATCCAAACATAATGAAACCTGCTCTAGTTGCAGCACATGTTACACCCGTACTTAGTATAAATAAGTCAACAAAACCTGTTGGTGGTATATCTGAGTAAGTATCTTCAAAGGAGTATTTTTTACCATTCACAACAAATAAAGTCTTCTGGTGTCAAAAGAGCAAAACAGGCTTTAGTCGTCATTGTGTTTAAGGTTAGTTTACAATATCGTCCTTGAGGACTTTGTAAGTTTGTTGTTATAGATTATATGACTCAGGGTTTTTAGTCGTAATAGTATAAACCATTATGTTTTCTGCCATTTACTTAGGCAAATAAATTTTAATGAAATGTTGTGGTCGTCAAATATTTTTTATAACGTCTGGGAAACTAATATTTTAAGTTCAACGTTCACCTCCTTTCATAACGTATATCTTGTCAATGACATTATATGAAACACCACAGCAAACAAATGTCGGGTTCTATTTCTTTGATGTTTATATCGTCTGCCTCTGTCAAAAGTTTCAATAGTTCTTTCAAAACTTCATGAGGTGCAATGACATATGAGTTCACTTTTACAGGGTTGTGTTCGACCAAGTTTAACATTATACTTAAAGCTTGACAAATCTTCTCCTGAGTTTGAAGTTTGTCTTTCAGTTGTTGGTAGTCGTTTCGAATATCTGCAACAGAACTTAAGTCTCTGTTAACTTCAGGATATGTTGGTTCTTTTACAGGAACAATTGTTTATACCATCTTCGTCTTCGTATGGTTTCCCCACTTCAACATCTCTGTCTTTGACATTGACAACAACACTTTGACTGTTTGTTGAGTTGGTGAATTTAACTTCACATCTGCCACCGCCATTAAACCTTTTGAAACACTCACGCTTCTATTTTTCGGAAATGACATTTTACTTAGAATAAAAAGATGGACGTATTCGGATATCTTATTGAATTGAAGCAGAACAAAGTTTATACTCACAAACAATACAAATACATTGACAGAATAGTTCTTTACACAAACAATGGAAAATGTTTATAGAATAGCAGTCTTTGCTGAACCTAAATATTTTCATAAAGCAAAGAAAGTTGGTATAACTGAAATGGTGAAAGTTCTTGAAGCAGACAAAAATATAAACTTCAAAACTTACAGATATTACTAAAGGAAAGTTTATAATACAATATTATGTCAAAACTGGGCCGTACTGTCAATATTTGACGGGAGAGAAGTCAGTTCAAGAACAACTTACTGACCTGCTGCCAAAATCTGCTCGATGGAAGCTGTCGTTATGCCAATCTGAGGAGCCCCAGCAGGTTTCATCGAACGAATCTTCAAAAGAGCATCTTCCGTGAAAAGTGCTATTGGTTTTGTAAACTTCTTTGCTCTCAATTCATCTGGACCGTCTCTGTCACCAGTATATTGTATTTGTACAGTACCAACAGTTGAAATACCACCCATAAAGTCTTCTGAGTCAGCAAATGGAATGCCAAGCCAAAAGTTTGAACGGTCTCCATTTGTATATTGAGTTTTTTGACTCCTGTATGAGTCCATACTTTCACATATGGCATAATAGAATTTTGCATTTCAGGGTTAATGGTTGTTGTGAAGTTGTTGTTAAAGTTCATAGCATCTAATGTCAAGTTGTATGACCTCATATCCTCAACTCTGTAGAATATTCTTCTCTTGGATAATATTTGCCATCTATGTTTATATATATTTAATACCAGGGTTGTAGAAACAAGAATAGTCATTTATAGTTCGTCGTCTGAACAGTACAAACATAGTAATCTGCATGTTTCATTGCAGTTGTTAAAGCAATATCTGTTTCTTGCACCTGCGGCTCCTGGATTTTGGTTTCCAACTTCACCTGCAAAGTCTTTGACAGATATTTGGTGTATAGGGAACATAAGTGGAACTGCAATATATTTGGCAGCTAAAGCATTTGAAATATCTGGGTCCAACATATAGACTGCAAGTCTGCTTTCTATTCTCTTGCATTCAAACTGTTCGCATGTGAACTTAACTGGGTCCCAAGCAGTTCCAGCAGCATTGAAATAATAGTTTACTTCATTGTTGAAGTTTGAGAAACCAAAGTCTAAGTCAACTTTGTCTTTGCAAAATTCGGCGAATGACGTTTGATTTGTTCCCTTTACGTCTGTAATAGTGAATGGGTCTTGTGTTGGTGCAATGACTAAGTTATTTTTGCTTGGAGTAAGTTCGATAGAAATTTTTCCTGCCCAGTTTGGCAAGTATCTTAAGAACCTAAAGATGAGGAAAGATGACAAAGGAACTCTAAGTTTCAGTTTTACTTTGGTTACTGCTGCTGCAGTTTGTCCAGAAAGGTTAACATAAACTCCTGGAACGTTAGGGTCAAGTCTTCTTATTTTCTCAATAGTTGCATACTGGTCTGTTTGTTCTCTAGCTTGTGGTTGTACTGAGTTTCTCAAAGCGAACCATTCATAGTTTGCCCATGTTACTGTTTGAACTAAGTCAGAGTTAGAATATATCTTATATCCCATGAAAACTTCTGGAGCATATTGGTATCCGACATAGAAAATTCCATTGCAACCTTTCTTGTCAGACAACTTGGCAGAAGGTTTTATTTCAATGTCATGTTCCACGTATAAGAATGAGTTGTCAATAGAAATAATATGAAACCTGTCGCAAGCAATATCTACTGTTGTTGAAGAACCTTCTCCAAACTCACCTACGTTTCCATAAGAAACAGCAGTTGTATATTCGTAAGTTCCAGGAACTATTTCTGACCTTCTAATGGCATTGTCGCATTCGTTATACCATTCGGAAACATTTCCGTTCATGGCATCCAAAACTGTTGGCGTTATATTCTGAGCGGCGTACATTTCATATGGGTAAAAATATAGAATAGTTGGATTTATATGTCATAATAGAACCCACTCGGACCAAGCTTTACTTTCTTCCTGACTGAGTTTTTAACAGAGTTTTTAACTCTTCTTTTTCCTTCATTGCCACTACTTTCACTAGATGAAGTTACTTCTTCACTACTTTCACTTTGTTCTACTCTTCTCTTCTTCTTTGGTGTCGCTTTTGGTAACTTGCCCTCTGCTTCAAGTTGTAGCATCCTTGCCTCATGTTCACCTAGTATGTTGTAAATTTCCCATGTCCTTTTTGCCTTTGGGCTCTGGTCGCCCATCTCAGGTAACCTATATCCTAGAAAGATTTCGTCATAGTTTGTATTTGAGTCTTCGCTTATTGTTTGCATGACTCTTTCCTGAGTTTCCGGTTCAAGCTCTTCAAACAGAGCTTGTCCATATGGAATAAGCTCGTTTCCAAATATATGTTTTTGTAGCCATTCTGGTTTTCTTTCCATGTAACCAATAATATCTTTTGTGAATGGGAAAGCTTTTACCCAACGTTTCAGTCTTGCGTCATTTATTTCTGTAGTTGGTTTTATTTTGTCATGGAACATGTTTTTCAATACTAACATTTCATTTGGTACTGTCCATTTGAGTTTTCTTAAATATTCATCCCTTCTCAGTTCATTGTCTGCAAAGTAAGTTTTTATGACATTTTGCAAACTTTCGTTTGCAAGGTCATGTACAATAGGTTCTTTTCCTTCTCTCTCCCTAACTTTCTTTCTAAACTCTTCACCAAATATACCATCTCTATGGTTCTGTGTAGTTCTTTGAGATAAATGTTCTAGAACGTCAGGTGTTATATTTCCCTCAGCCATGTTCATTTCATACTGGTCCAAAATATCTGCATCTTTCATATCTTTCAATGGCATTAACGCCGCGCTGAAAATACCCGTTATATCTGGTTCACCATTCACTTCCATTGCGTCTACAACTTCTTGGAATTGAGGTTGTAAGTTTATGAACCACCTATCCGGATTAGCTTTATGACCCCATTTCATTGTAGTTCCATAGTCTGCAGAAACAAAAGTAGGTTTGTTTCCATATTGGTTAGGTTCTGAATGAACTTTAAACAATGTTTCATTTCTATATGTTTTGTTGAAATTTAACCTTTTATTTTCACCGAGTTCAGCCAAAGATTGAACGTTATATGGTCGTAAGTAAAAAGGATTATTGTATTTGCGTACATTTTCTTTCAGTACTTCCATTCTATGCTGAATATTTTCATCTGATGTTGGAGTCTTTTGTATGTCGGTGAACATTTTTCGATATTCTTCTACTATGTCAGCCAAATTTTTCTTAGACTCTTGGAAAGATTCCATATTCCCCGCATACACTTGTTGAGGGTCAAGATTTTTCGGCTGTTCCAAATCTTCATCTAGTTCTGTGAAGTTAGTTTCCAAAGGAGGGACTTGTTCGTTTCCTTCAGGCTCTTCTAGCTGTTGTTGCTGAACTATTTCTTCCATGTCTGGTTGTATCTGAACTTCTTCCTGTTGAGTTTCTTGTACCTCATCTGCTGGCATTTCATATATTCCGAGACCGTTTTTAACAAGTTCCCTATCTAAGTCATCCGGACTCATAAACCTTTCTTCTTTCGTTCCGTCTCTATTTTTACGCGTTTCATGAAGAGAGTTGAATTATCATTTAGCTCTGACATCAAATATCTCGGAGTAAATTCATCCATGTCATTTGGATGATATGCTATTAAATCATATCCCTTAGCGAGCTTGTATTTTCCAGGTTTGAGATTATATCCGATTTGATGCTGAACCATAAAGCTAAATAGGTTCGGGTCAGTATTTCCTTCCTTGAACTTTCTAATAGCTTCTTTATATCTGTCACTAAAGTCAAGAGTATCTGGGTAACCATAATCTTCCTTAAGCATTTTTAAGAATTCTTGGTTTCCTTTTTCTCTACTTCTTTTATGTCCTTGCTCTGTTTGTGGTTGTTGTTGTGCAGGGTTTTGAACTGTTGGTTGCTGTGCTGGTTGTGGAGGTGGTTGTTGTGCTGGTTTTGGTTGTGGTGCTGGATTTTGAACTGTTGGTTGCTGTGCAGGGTTTTGAACTGTTGGTTGCTGTGCTGGATTTTGAACTGTTGGTTTTGGTTGTTGTTGTGGTGCTGGATTTTGAACTGTTGGTTGTTGTGTTGGTTTTGGTGCATGCCTGTGTCTGTGTCCATGTGACGATGTAAATGTTTTAGGTAGTCCTGGTGCAGGTGCTTCTCTTGGAGGGTTTGGTGGTATATAAGTTCCACCAGCTGGCACATATGTTCCATCTGCAGCATAATGTCCTACCTGACTTTTCGTTTTTAAGAAAGCATTTACTAGGTCTGTTTTGGTCTGTTGTAACTCTTTTTCTTGACTTTCCACAACAGCTGCTCTAACGGCGTCATAGGCACTTTGAACTGCCTGTCTCGTTGCTGCATCTGTTATTTTCGTCATATTTTGTGCTACTTCTCTTAACTCTTTGTCGAAACCTTCAGACTTCAGTTTCTTTCCAGATGAGAAGTCGTTCACTAGTTTCACCTTACTATGAAGAGCTTCGAAGGCATTCTTAAAGTCAGCATTCATTAAAGCTTCATTTGAACTGTCTTCATCCGCTTGTATTTTGTCCTTATTGACCCTATAAGTTGGGCTGCTTTAGCGTTGGCTTGGGCATCTAACCAGTCATTATTAGCTTTTATAATATCTGCGCTTTTCATTGCCTTTTGCATGGCTGCGTCGTTATTTTTACTTTCTTGTGCTAAGTTTTCATACTGTACGGTTTGGTTTTGCAACTGTAAAAGTTTTTCTGCCTTTACATTTGCTTCAACTTCTTTTTTATACTCATCGCTATCCATATATGTCTTCAGGGCTTTTTGTTTTATCTCTTCATCTTTCAGTACTTTATATTGAGTAGTATGGTTTTTCAAATTTATAACATCTTGTTCCATTTTTGCTACTTCTGCTGCTTTTTCTGACACTTTTTTCGCATATTCCTCTGTACTTAGTTCTTTCAGTTGTTCTTCTTTCTTCTTTTTCTCTACGTTTAACTCATTTAGTTTCTTTGTCTGTGTTGTGCATGAAAAATAGCGTGACTTCACTTTTGACAAAAAGTGACACTATTTCTGATGGTTTTGTCATTTATTTGTCAGATTTATAAATGGATAATAATGCTGTAAATCAGATATTAATTAAAAATATTTAAGATTTATGTTCGAATTGAAAAGCAAAATGATATTTTTTTTAATTGAAAAACGTTAATATCTGATATTTTGAAGTTTTTAATATTTGTTAGTATCTTAAATTATTGAATGCATACGTTTTTTATGTTCTCAATTTTAAAAAATTGTGAAGAATTTAGTTTTTTGGAGATGGGTGTTTAATATTTGTGAGTGAGAATGCAAGCAGGAGTTTGGTACTTTAAGGCTAGGTTGAGATAGATTTCCCATTATATTATCTGTGAATATATTGTTTGAAAATTCAAGATATAAAAATATATTATCAAAAAATTTTATATTTTTAAATACAATAGGGTGGAAATATAGTACGATGAGATAGCAATGATATATTTTATAATGGGAGGTAATCTGAAGATAAGTAGCAAATTTTATGCGATTTTGATTGGGAGTTGGAGGGTGTGAGTACTATAGCATGTAATAGTATCTCACACCCTCCAATTCTTCCTATGGCGCCGAAAAATTTTTGGTGAAATGCGACGACATTTCACCAAAAAATTTTCGGCGCCATATAGAGAACTATAGTCTGCGAGGTACTGATTCTATCTATGTACCTCGCAGACCATAGTTCTCAGCCAAAATGGCTAATAATTTGAGAGTCTATATGATAATGTAAAAGTTAAAACATTCAAGTATTTAAGTATTTCTTTAAAATATTAAGTTTTTTATTTTTCCAATAAAATTCTAATATCAAATATTTTTATTTAACGATTAATTTTATTTATATTTTTATAGTTTTTTTTTAAGAAAAAATATTGTTAGGGTTTTATTGATTTTCAATTAATATACAAGATAATTCATGAATGTATATATTTCCAAGTTTTTAAGGATGCAACACTTTACATTTGTAAACTGTCAAAAATGAAGTCACGCTATTTTTCATGCATTACAGTCTGTCTGTCATATTCTAGTTTCTTTTCGTTTTCACTTATTTGTTTCTGTATGTCTATGTTTGACTTTTTGACATCTGTTATTTGATTTTTGAGTGAACTCAAATTCATTTGACTTTGAGGGTTATAAGCTGTTCCGTCTGCAGCTCCACCATAGCCTGCCATTTTCGCTAAAAGTGCCGCTCTTAAACCTCCACTCTGTGGAGTATATAAGAATTTCCGAAAAAGTGACACCCAAAAAGTGACACCTTCAATAGGGAGTAACACTTAAAAAGTGACAATTTAAAATTCACAATAAATAAAAATAATAATTTTTTTAGTTTATTAAATTATTCTTTTCTTTGAAATCTGTTGTAAACAGAAATTCATCAAAAGTGACACCTCAGAAAAGCTAAAATATTGAATTTTTGGAACTTTTGATAGAGCACGTTTTTAAATATTAATTTAAGTAAATGTATATTTTGTAAAGATTCTTTTTAATAAAAAAATAAAATTTTGAAGAAGAACACAAAATCTTCTGAAAAATAATATCACATAAACTCATATTATTTTCTAATATATAACTATTTTATATAAAAATCAAATTCAATGATCTTAAAAGCGAAGGATAAACCTCAAAATTTACGAATATAATGAGTGGGAATATAATGCTTATCTATCATAAAACCATATGAAATATTCCCACTCATTATATTCGTAAATTTTGAGGTTTATCCTTCGCTTTTAAGATCATTGAATTTGATTTTTATATAAAATAGTTATATATTAGAAAATAATATGAGTTTATGTGATATTCTTTTTCAGAAGATTTCATTCTATATGCCTATGAAAAGTACTCTCAAAACTAACTTTTTCCTAATTATAATTAAATCTAGAATATTGTATTATGCTTAGTATTATTTCATTTTTCTCATTCAATTTAGAATTTACAAATGTCAAAAAATTGAGAGCTGTCACTTTTGATGAATTTCTGTTTATTACACTTTTCTTTGAAATCATCTAAAAATTCTTCGAAATGTTCTAAAATATAATCTGGAGAATTATAACAAAATTCATTAATTTCTAACATATACGTATCTAACAATTCATTTGGAATTTCAAACGATCTTAAATATGTAATTGAATTTTGTATCTTCTCATTTATTTGAGAAAGTTTTTCTTCAGCATTTTCCAATAAAAATCTTAATGGATTCAAATTGGCTTCTTGATTCTGAACAAAATTTAATACTTGGTATAAACGTGATTGAACTTCTCTTTTCAATTTTGTTTTATAATCTGTCAATCGAGGCTCGCGAATTCTAATTGAAGGAATAAAACCTGTTTGAAGTAAATCGTTTTTAATACGATAAAAGTAATTGGGTGCAACTTCTTCTAAAAGATTTTTGACAAAAACATCAATTCTTTGATTTTTAACGCAGCCAAAATCGTGATATTTTATCTTTTTAAATAAAGATTCAGAAACGTTATTCACAACGGTTAATTCATTTGGTCTGGCAGCGGCTATCCACATCATAGCCAACAATTCCTTATACAAAATTCAAAAACTTGGGTGCAATCAGTTCTGATTGCACCCAAGTTTTTGAACTTTCTTGAGGGAATTAAAGGGTGAGAGATTTATAGTCTATCTATATATCTCCCACCCTCTAATTCCCTCCCTGACAGCGGGAAATTTTGTCTGAATGTTAAACTATTCAGACAAAGTTTCCCACTGTTTGCGAAGGAATTGTTGGCTATGATGTACTGATTCATGATCAGTACATCATAGCCAACAATTCCTTATACAAAGTTCAAAAACTTGGGTGCAATCAGAACTGATTGCACCCAAGTTTTTGAACTTTCTTGAGGGAATGGAAGAGTAAGAGGTATACATTATGAATATATACCTCTTACCCTTCCATTCCCTCTCTGACAGCGGGAAACTTTGTCTGAATGTTAAACTATTCAGACAAAGTTTCCCGCTGTCAGCGAAAGAATTGTTCCATCTGGTGCATAGAGTGTGAATCTATGCACCAAATGGAGCAAGTCCCTCGCGAAATTGCCCAAACTTGCGTCGCATTTCAAAGATTGCGACCCAAATTTTGGCGATTTCTAGTAGAGATGGAGTATTTTGAGTCACTGACCTATATGCAGTGGCTCAAAGGGCTCCATCTCTACTTTGAAGCAAGGAAACTTTCCTCGAAATTTTGATAATTTGAAGAAAGTTTTCAAGCAATTAACAAAGGATTACTCGCTATGAGGTAAAAATTCTAGATTTTCACCTCATAGCGAGAGCTTCCCTTTCATTGCTTGAAAACTTTCCCCAGCTTCAAAATTGGGGAAAGGGCTGTAAAGTCGACTCCGATACCAGCAGGTACCAGAGTATTTAAAAGAGAAGCCCTCGTACGAGTTTCTATGAAGACCTTCTCATTCAAGAAGATCTTAATAGAAAATCGTACGAGGGCATTGGAAACTCGCGTCTGGTACATGTTGGTACCAGAGTGTTTGAGATTTGAAGACTCTGGTACTAACATGTACCAGAATTTATGATGAATTTAAGATGGACCATTATAAAATGGTAGCGGTTTGTTTCAAAAAGATGAGATTTGCATAGATAGATTATATGATTTATACATATGAAAAATAATATAAAATATAATTTTGAGATAATTATGATAAATATTTTTAAATATTGAATTTGAGGTATAATTTTATAGTAAAAATATTATAAAGAGTATTTATATAAATATTGTAAAATAATATAAGTAATAAAAATTGAGACCCCCTCCCTGTTTTTGATGTTTTGTCACTTTTTCGGTAATTCTTATTGTTTCGTTATAAGCTGTTCCGTCTGCAGCTCCACCATAGCCTGCCATTTTCGCTAAAAGTGCCGCTCTTAAACCTCCACTCTGTGCACCAATAACTCGGTTTAAAAGCATAGGGTTGCTTGACATTTGTTGCAACATAGTGGGGTCATTCATCATTTGTTGTTGCAACTGTTGTTGTGGTGTCAGTTTTACTATTGGATGTTTCAATGCTCCCTTCCTCTTACGTATATTCTTACGTAGCTTACGTGGCATTTTAAGTGAAGTTAAAAAGCGGTTTTTGACAGATGTTTATATGACACTTTTTGTTCAGCACAAGAAACTACTCGGTCAAAGTGTTGTCAGTTTTGTAAAATAACCGTCCTATCTCATTCTATAAGGGAGAAAAGGCTTCTCAAAGTATACTTCCTTGGAACGCCTGTAACTTTTCCTGTAGCGACGATAGACCCTTACTTGTCCGGACAAAGTTATACTATTTTGAGTGCTCTACAAAAAAGTCACCGGCTGGCTCGTCCTCAGAAATTTTTTATGGGCTAGAGGGCGCAACGCGCCTGGAAGCCCCACTACCTTTTTTTTGATTTCACTGAAATTTTTCAAAACATAAAAAATAAATTTTGAATGAATGGAAAGCCTATTTTTCAAGCAGATTTACATAGGATACTAGCTTTCAAACGAAATAAAAAACAAGTTTATATTTAGTTTGTTGATGCGACAATACATTTTTTTTATTCTGTTTTTTATCATTTTGATTTTATAAATCTGTACTTGGAGGTGGAATAGAATCATCTAAAGAAGGAGAAACACGGTTGATACTATTATCTAATGACATAGCTTCAAGGTTCATCTGAGCATGAGTAGTATGGTAATTCTTCAGGCCGGAGTACCATCTATTCTTTACCGCAGAAGGACTTCTACCCTGAAGTTCTTGGGCTATAGTTGCCCATTTATTTCCGATTTCTCGTTGTTTTGTAATAATAATTTGGTCTTCCCAAGGTTCGAAAGGCTCGTGACGTATTTCAGGATCAAGTCTATGGAACCAACGTTCTCTGCATTGCTTCGATGTTCTTGTTGGAACGAATTTTGCAATATCAACCCATTTTTTAGGTCCAAGCTGATGAACAGCACTAAGCAATTGTTCATCCTCTTGCTGTGTCCAGGTTCCTCTTGCAGAAAATTCGGCCTGTTTTGGGTGTAACTGTGTAGCTGTTTGAGAAAAGTACATTTGCAAAATTTCTTGAGGTATCATTGTGTTATTGCTTTGAGGCATTCCGTAGTTCTGTTGTGTTGGATCAGTCATGATTAAAGGTAAAAGTGGATTGTCTTGGTTGCCGAAGTTACCATCTTCGGTCATTCCCGCGTAAATTTACGAAGAAAAGTGACAATACCTTCAACAAAAAAAATCTAGAATTGAAATCTGAAATCTGTGAATAGAGATTTTGATATATGATTCTCAAACAGATATTTGTATGAAAAATAAAGGAGTGTTAAAAAAAAATTCAATGAAATTTGAAATCTTTCGAAATCTTTATTATGAGTAGTTTAGGAAATTTATTCTTCATCAGCCTTCTTGGTCTGAGCATGGGCCCGCATACGCTTCTTACGGCCGAGCTTTTCTGTGGTCATAACAGAAGTATCAGCGGACTTGATGTTCTTCTCAGACTCCTTCCAAACAAGGAAAGCTGGCTGATTGACGAGCTGGTTCTCAACAGAGATGTGGCGGTGAGAAACTAATGTACGTGCGTGGTGGACAGAGTTGGCAAGAGCACGCTTGTGAACTTGTGTCTGGAGACGGCGATCCATGAGATCGTTGACTGTAAGAGAAAGAACATAATCGAGCTTTTGCTTGGATTCGTCAAGAACGCCAAGTTTTGTAAGACGACGAAGGAGAGCTGCACCTTCGAAGATACGCTTTGAATCGTTCTCTGGAAGTGTAAGAAGTTCACGAGCAGCGTGGCGGATCTTAGAAAGTGTGTATGAAACACGCCAGATTTCACGCTTGTTCTTAAGGCCATATTCACCAACGACCTGGAGCTCCTTGTGCATGCGCTCCTTCTCGTATGGACGCATTGGTTTCTTGAATGTACGGGAGAAGTTTCTGCTCGACATTTTTCCAAAAAGGACGATAGAAAATTTTAGGATGGACTAGCTGAGTTTCGTCACTTTTTATAAAAATAATCGTTATTTTATTATTTACCGGACATATACAATCACAATGAAATAGCAATTAAAAATATTTGAGTTGTTCAATTTCATGATCAAATTATTCTTAATAATATCGAGAAAATGGACACCAACAAGTGAGCAATAACTGTATTTTGGCTAATTCTTTCTTTTCAACCCTCTATTTTGCCCAATCTAATCAATTTAATTGATTTCATATTTCTATCGAAGCAAAATTAAAATTTAGGAAAGCACTTAAGTAAATTTTGTAAGGTACAGATCTTTGACATTGTTATTTTGAATTTAAATCAAAAATAAAATTTAAATATTAAAACATAATAGAAAAATATCTTTATTTTTCCCACTCAGGTACATAACAATGATTGATATAGCCAAGTCTTGCCATCTGAATCTTGAAGTTGCTATATAAGAACAAACCTGTGTCTGCCTCTTGTTTAACGAAGTCAATTACAAGTGGCTTTCCGTTGAAGACAAATCTGGCCCAGATCTGACCATTTCTGTCCCAAAGTTCGAGGATTAAGTGAGATCTGACTGTTGGACCGTATAATTCAGTGAATTTGAAGGTAGAAAGTACAGCGAGGAGTGCGCCATCATGAGAAGAGAGCAAAACAATCTTGTATTTGTTCTGTAATGAAACTCTTTGGTCAGCAATTCTGAACATTTCTCTGAAAAGAGGAGCAGCACCAACACCACGGTATTTGTCCATGTTGTTCTTGTTGTAGTTATAGAATGAGAGGTATTTCTTGCAATCATCAATCAATTCGTCTGTAATCCAATCTGGAAGGTTATGTTCACTGCAAGAAGCCAAACTGATGAACGAGGAGTACTTCTTGACTTGCTTGAGGTTGAATTTCATTCTGTGATCAACGAAAAGCTTCTTGTATTTTGCGGAAAAGTTCTTGTAGTAATCTTGAACGAATTGTTGGGCGAAAAATTCCTCTTCCATGCCTTGGAGCTCCTTGCACCATTCATCATCGGGATGGAGGATGCCTGCTTCAGGAGTATCGGTAATTAAAGGAACAACTTCATTTGGAGAAGTTGGAGGGTACATTCCTTGAAGGAATGAGACAGCAGACTTGACTGTTCTGTCTAGTTCAGTTGCACGGGCATAAGTTGTCTCTGGATTAGCATTTTCTGGCATAAAACCTTCATTCTTTGAATAATGTTCCTTTACTGCTTTACCTAATTCAAAATGCTGCTGCATACCATAAGTAGTTAAGTCTTCTGGCCTGCAAGATGGTGGATATGCCATAAGTCTTGAATCGAAATGTTCGTAATAATCTCTTGGATGCCAAGCAGGGGCTGGATGGTATCTTGGAGCTATTGAGGAATTTTCATCACAGTGCCATTCTCCTGTATCGAAACCAGGAAAATGATTTCCTCCTGGAGTTCTTTCTCCGTGACGAAGTAATAACTGTATTTGAAGCAATTTTGCATTGTTAATAGGTTCTGCAAATGTTAGTGGGGCTTCACAAGTTGGTGAGCGTCCACAGTTTGCAGAAGATAAGAAAAACAAAAACATCAAAAATAAAACTATAGGATCTCCCACGAAATTTGATTTTAAAAATTCGGAATTTAGAAAAATTGCACGTTGGATAACGATATTAAAATTCAAAATCAAAAATTCAATTTCTCAAAAATGTTTGCTTTCCTAATTCACGGTATTCAAGCTGAGTTTATAAGATTTAGCTACAAAAAATACCTAAAACTTAAAGAAAAAAGCTTTGAGAAGCCAATATTTGCTATTGCTTATAGTCCTTACTGTGGACATTGTACTGAAATTCCAAATGAGTCAATGATTTTTCGCCAAAGAAACAACAAACGCGATGATTTCTACTTTACATTACTTAATTGCGGTGAAGGTGATGCATGTAGCCATTTTACTGTACCACACACTCCATATCAAGTTATAATTCAAGGAGATGAGAAGGATTATTGGCCTGAAACTAAAACACATACTGCTCTTGAGTGGGAGGAGTTCGTTAACAAGACATTACAGCCACATCTCACGAAAATTCAGGATCAAAGTGAAATTGAAAATTATAAATCTAATTTAACAGAAGGAGGAACACTCTTTTACTTACAGGTTCAGAGTGAGAGTAGTATTGCCTTCAAATTATATCAAAAAATTGCAAAACAATATTATATTTATCAAGATATCTTCTTGTATCAGATTGTTCCATACAAGACAGAAAAAGTTATTGCATATACATCACCAAATTGCCCGATAGAATACAACCAGTTATCTCTATTACAAGGATTTGTTGATGAATACAAATTTGGTGGTGCTCATCGTTATTTGTATAATGAATTAGCAAACTTACATCATTCACAAGTTCCTTCAGCAGTTTTGCTTGTAGAAGATACATACACTTCCACAAAAATCAATGATGGACTCAAAAATGACATTTTGGATATAGCTGATAAGCACTGCGGTGTCAAAACAGGATGGATGTCGTTCCAATACAACGAAGGATTCCTCAAAGATCATAAAATCCACGACGATGAGATGCCATTACTTGTATATCACGGAAACAACTGTTTGAACTACTACAGAGGCAGAATGAGTGATGTAATCGATACCGACTTCATGAATCTGTCAATATCTGGACAACTTTGCGGTAAAAATTACAATAATGTTGATGGATCTGAGAATATTACAGTTTTAGATGACAAGAAAGGTCTTCCTAAGACACTATGGTGGAAGGCTAAAATAAGTGGATGGACATTGGCCGTCATTTACATGTCTTCCGCTTTCGCAATCCTTGCTTCTTTAGCAGTCTTGACACCGTATAGATCTAAGTCAAGAAACACCGAAAAACTCGGATAAATTTGTCTTTTTATTATTAATTGCTTGTATTTCAATGGAATTTTACATTGAAATTAATTTTATATGAAATATCAATAAAATATGGTTTAAAAAAATAACACATAAAACTACAATAGCATATTTTTTAAGTGTGATATAAGAAAGAAAAGTTTACAAATTCATGGGTATTTTGTTGGCGCAATTAATATATTTTTCCAATAAAATCAATGATAAGATATGCAATTTAATACCGAATATCTGTACAATAAGTTAAAAATCAAGCTTTATCGCAAAATCAAAAACAATTCACCTGAGCATTTTTAATTAAAGCTTAAGCGTCGAAGCAATAATGATTTGTAGACAAAACAGAGTCTGACTGCAACATAAAATACACATATTCTTTGAGCACCGTAATTAATTTTAATTCAAAGTAGAGAACATAATGACATCCACAAGATCTTCCACTGCACTGTGATTTTAATTGAAAACTTTTTATCGAAGACCCATAAAAATAAAGTTCCAGTTTTTTTTATGAAAGTTCGGAACTTCATGACGTTATGCAAATATTGCGCTTTATGCTGTGGGAGCAGCTTTAATCAATATCCATAAATATCTAATCATCACAATTACCGATAATTTATTGAACTTTCACAGAAAAAATCAAATTCGATATAAATTACAATTCAATCTTTTGAGAGGAATTTTTTGGCCCATAAAAAAATATTCTCTATCGTTATTTCATTGACAAAAATAAATCAATTTTTATAATGGTCCAACTTAAAAATAATTAAAATTGTTATAGACCGAAAATATATTTTTTCGGTTTTCTCTTCAAATAATTGAAAGAATGATACTATTATAGGTTTATTATATTATATACCATATAATCATGCTATAGCCGAAAATTATAAGTTTTGAGAAGATTGAATATAACACAAATAAATTTGAATGTAAGTTAAATTGTTTGTTGTTTTTAATAGGTATTTAATGAGAAATCCAATATTGCGAAATTCAAATTGAATAAATTGAAAGAACAGAAAAAGTTATTCTTTTCAATTTCGAATATGTTTCATTGTATTTATAATTATATGGCAAATAAGATATTTAAACTTGATTTTTGAAGGAAAATTCACAAAATTGAATAAATTCAAATAATTTTTATTCAAAAATAAACTAGTTATTTGAGTTTACTACTAATTATCTATTCAAACGACAAAGTTTGTAATTTAAAATATTTTGTGAGATTCAGAATTGAATTAATTCAAGGTTTCTTTTCAATTAATATTAATGACCATATTACGCATTTCGAACATTCTAAACCAAATATATAAAATGGGAGACGATGTTAAATTTTCTAGACATAAAGAAGTTGTTTTACCGAGTTTTAGCTCTTATCTCTAACAAAAAATTAATTTTTAAAAAAATGACCGAATACGTTTCACAGCGAGAAAAAAATAAAAGGCAAGATAGAATTTTCTAGACATAAAAGAAGTTGTTTACCGAGTTTTAGCTCTTATCTCTAACAAAAATTAATTTTTAAAAAAAATGACCGAATTACGTTTCACAGCGAGAAAAAAATAAAAGGCAAGATAGAATTTTCTAGACATAAAGAAGTTTTTACCGAGTTTTAGCTCTTATCTCTAACAAAAATTAATTTTTAAAAAAATGACCGAATACGTTTCACAGCGAGAAAAAAATAAAAAGGCAAGATAGAATTTTTAGACATAAAGAAGTTGTTTACCGAGTTTTAGCTCTTATCTCTAACAAAAAAATTAATTTTTAAAAAAATGACCGAATAACGTTTCACAGCGAGAAAAAAATAAAAAGGCAAGATAGAATTTTCTAGACATAAAGAAGTTGTTTACCGAGTTTTAGCTCTTATCTCTAACAAAAAATTAATTTTTAAAAAATGACCGAATACGTTTCACAGCGAGAAAAAAATAAAAGGCAAGATAGAATTTTCTAGACATAAAGAAGTTGTTTACCGAGTTTTAGCTCTTATCTCTAACAAAAAATTAATTTTTAAAAAAATGACCGAATACGTTTCACAGCGAGAAAAAATAAAAGGCAAGATAGAATTTTCTAGACATAAAGAAGTTGTTTACGAGTTTTAGCTCTTATCTCTAACAAAAAATTAATTTTTAAAAAAATGACCGAATACGTTTCACAGCGAGAAAAAAATAAAAGGCAAGATAGAATTTTCTAGACAATAAAGAAGTTGTTTACCGAGTTTTAGCTCTTATCTCTAACAAAAAATTAATTTTTAAAAAAATGACCGAATACGTTTCACAGCGAGAAAAAAATAAAAGGCAAGATAGAATTTTCTAGACATAAAGAAGTTTTTTACCGAGTTTTAGCTCTTATCTCTAACAAAAAATTAATTTTTTAAAAAAAATGACCGAATACGTTTCACAGCGAGAAAAAAATAAAAGGCAAGATAGAATTTTCTAGACATTAAAGAAGTTGTTTACCGAGTTTAGCTCTTATCTCTAACAAAAAATTAATTTTTAAAAAAATGACGAATACGTTTCACAGCGAAAAAAAATAAAAGGCAAGATAGAATTTTCTAGACATAAAGAAGTTGTTTACCGAGTTTTAGCTCTTATCTCTAACAAAAAATTAATTTTTAAAAAAATGACCGAATACGTTTCACAGCGAGAAAAAAATAAAAGGCAAGATAGAATTTTCTAGACATAAAGAAGTTGTTACCGAGTTTTAGCTCTTATCTCTAACAAAAAATTAATTTTTAAAAAAAATGACCGAATACGTTTCAAGCGAGAAAAAAATAAAAGGCAAGATAGAATTTTCTAGACATAAAGAAGTTGTTTACCGAGTTTTAGCTCTTATCTCTAACAAAAAAATTAATTTTTAAAAAAATGACCGAATACGTTTCACAGCGAGAAAAAAATAAAAGGCAAGATAGAATTTTTCTAGACATAAAGAAGTTGTTTACCGAGTTTTAGCTCTTATCTCTAACAAAAAATTTAATTTTTAAAAAATGACGAATACGTTTCACAGCGAGAAAAAAATAAAAGGCAAGATAGAATTTTCTAGACATAAAGAAGTTGTTTACCGAGTTTTAGCTCTTATCTCTAACAAAAAAATTAATTTTTAAAAAAATGACCGAATACGTTTCACAGCGAGAAAAAAATAAAAGGCAAGATAGAATTTTCTAGACATAAAGAAGTTGTTTACCGAGTTTTTAGCTCTATCTCTAACAAAAAATTAATTTTTAAAAAATGACGAATACGTTTCACAGCGAGAAAAAAATAAAAGGCAAGATAGAATTTTCTAGACATAAAGAAGTTGTTTACCGAGTTTTAGCTCTTATCTCTAAAAAAATTAATTTTTAAAAAAATGACCGAATACGTTTCACAGCAGAGAAAAAAATAAAAGGCAAGATAGAATTTTCTAGAATAAAGAAGTTGTTTACGAGTTTTAGCTCTTATCTCTAACAAAAAATTAATTTTTAAAAAATGACCGAATACGTTTCACAGCGAGAAAAAAATAAAAGGCAAGATAGAATTTTCTAGACATAAAGAAGTTGTTTACCGAGTTTTAGCTCTTATCTCTAACAAAAAATTAATTTTAAAAAAATGACCGAATACGTTTCACAGCGAGAAAAAAATAAAAGGCAAGATAGAATTTTCTAGACATAAAGAAGTTGTTTACCGAGTTTTAGCTCTTATCTCTAACAAAAAATTAATTTTTAAAAAAATGACCGAATACGTTTCACAGCGAGAAAAAATAAAAGGCAAGATAGAATTTTCTAGACATAAAGAAGTTGTTTACCGAGTTTTAGCTCTTATCTCTAACAAAAAATTAATTTTTAAAAAAATGACCGAATACGTTTCACAGCGAGAAAAAAATAAAAGGCAAGATAGAATTTTCTAGACATAAAGAAGTTGTTTACCGAGTTTTAGCTCTTATCTCTAACAAAAAATTAATTTTTAAAAAAATGACCGAATACGTTTCACAGCGAGAAAAAAATAAAAGGCAAGATAGAATTTTCTAGACATAAAGAAGTTGTTTACCGAGTTTTAGCTCTTATCTCTAACAAAAATTAATTTTTAAAAAAATGACCGAATACGTTTCACAGCGAGAAAAAAATAAAAGGCAAGATAGAATTTTCTAGACATAAAGAAGTTGTTTACCGAGTTTTAGCTCTTATCTCTAACAAAAAATTAATTTTTAAAAAAATGACCGAATACGTTTCACAGCGAGAAAAAAATAAAAGGCAAGATAGAATTTTCTAGACATAAAGAAGTTGTTTACCGAGTTTTAGCTCTTATCTCTAACAAAAAATTAATTTTTAAAAAAATGACCGAATACGTTTCACAGCGAGAAAAAATAAAAGGCAAGATAGAATTTTCTAGACATAAAGAAGTTGTTTACCGAGTTTTAGCTCTTATCTCTAACAAAAATTAATTTTTAAAAAAATGAGACCGAATACGTTTCACAGCGAGAAAAAAATAAAAGGCAAGATAGAATTTTCTAGACATAAAGAAGTTGTTTACCGAGTTTTAGCTCTTATCTCTAACAAAAAATTAATTTTTAAAAAAATGACCGAATACGTTTCACAGCGAGAAAAAAATAAAAGGCAAGATAGAATTTTCTAGACATAAAGAAGTTGTTTACCGAGTTTTAGCTCTTATCTCTAACAAAAAATTAATTTTTTAAAAAAATGACCGAATACGTTTCACAGCGAGAAAAAAATAAAAGGCAAGATAGAATTTTCTAGACATAAAGAAGTTGTTTACCGAGTTTTAGCTCTTATCTCTAACAAAAAATTAATTTTTAAAAAAATGACCGAATACGTTTCACAGCGAGAAAAAAATAAAAGGCAAGATAGAATTTTCTAGACATAAAGAAGTTGTTTACCGAGTTTTAGCTCTTATCTCTAACAAAAAATTAATTTTTAAAAAAATGACCGAATACGTTTCACAGCGAGAAAAAATAAAAGGCAAGATAGAATTTTCTAGACATAAAGAAGTTGTTTACCGAGTTTTAGCTCTTATCTC